CTTGCTGTGATGCCCACAGGCACACGAACAATCAGAATGGGATCATCAGTAGGCTCCAGATAGGACCCTTATAATCACCGAGTGAGAATCCCAGGCTGTTCTTTTACATGTGCCTATAGGATATTTTGCATGAAATACTACTCTGATCCCAATGTTTTCATTCCCCAGGAGCAGCAGTTATGCCTTCTCTTAAATAAGCTGTGCTGCCTACACACAGTATTACTTCTGAGGGCTGCCCGAGTCTAAGTCCCTATGATGGGGTCTGTTCAGGTACCAAAGATAGAGCTATTTCTACTCATTACAGGCTCTCTTGACGATACAAAAGCTTTACAAGTCTTTTGTCAGCAGATAACAGTGCAGAGGCTAGTGTGGGGAAGAGAGAGCAGTAAAAGGGGAAGAAATGGGAGACTGTCAAATTTTGGGCAGGAGGGGTGTGAGGGGAGGTCTAAAACACAGCACTATCATAGCAGTTGTCTCAGGAAAAGCCCTGGCAACCTGCATCATGGTCACAGAGGAAGGTAGTTCCCAACTGGCAAGAATAATCACAATGGCTACAATAGCTTAACCAGGCTACAGACAAGCTCAGAAAGATCTCCAGGTGTTGTGTCTGTGTCTTCTCTGGTTACCTGCTATTTGCTGATGATTTAATATGAATGTTACATGAAGGGAAAGCATCAATCTTCCTGTCACAAAATGGTAGTCCCCAGAGCTTACAGGGGAACAAACAACTCAATCCTTTCTGCATCTTCTCCATCAGCTCCCGACATGGCATCCACCATGGAGGACAGAAGCAGACACTGGGGTGGGGGGCGGGGGAAGGTTGGGATCAAATTAAACTTAAATGACACCGTTGTTTTGCCTCTTAACAACTACCTCCATCTTTAGGGGGCTGCATAGCATTGGGGGCAAGTCTTGCACCCAGCCAGTCACAATCAGGAGCAGAGGACAAGCTGTGTTAGCCTAGCCTTCCTAGCAGGCATTTCACCTTGTAGGATTCCTCAGGGTGAAACTTGTAACAAATAAGACATCTAGTCATGAAGGATGTGCTCAGATGACAGCAGGGAAAGGTTATCTTGGTATCAAACGGGTTTTGCATAGACAGTTCTGTACTTGCATGCGCAGTATTCACTGATCAGCCCTTTCCAGAACCACCATAGATGATTCAATGCCAATAATGATTCAGGAGCTGTATCATTTTTGGCACAGGTCTGAGGGTCCCCAAAGCGTGATAAAATAGGAGAACACACCGATTGTGGCTATTTTCCTCAGACATTTCTACCTCCTGAGATTACATAACGGAGAGAGCCTTTGTTTGTGCTTTGCTGTATCTCTACGAGGGTGTATTGAATGTACAGACCAATCTATGTTATTCCTTCTCTCCTTGAAGCAGTGCCCTCCCTCCCCTACTCCTCAGCCTCCCCCCTCCATGTCCAGCAGCAATTGTCCTCCGACAACAGTGTGAAGGGGGGCGGACATCCTTCTATCCCAGCTCCTTCCCCTGAATCCTGCCTCCCTGTCTTTAGCTCTCAAAAATAAATAAATAAATGATTTAAGATTTAAACCATTAAATCTCCTGTGCTGTGGACAACACATTTAGCTCCATGCCTTCCTCACTCCCTCTCCACCTTCAGACAAATGGCTTCTTTTGTGCATTAGTCACTCCAGAGAAGGATCTGTAGGAACCTCTTTCACCTCCCCCTTCTCCAAACCCTATGAGAGCCTACCCAGCAATATGAGGCCCAGCATTGATCCACTGCCAATCAGATCTAACCAATTTAGAGCTTGACATATATACACACACACACTTATATGCTGCAGAGAGAGACCCCTGGGCTACTGAAGGTGACAGTGTCACCGCTCATGGATTTCTGCATTATACCCTGCATTGCAATCCTAGCAGTAGAGCGTGTGCGTGCAGCAGGGACTGGGCTCCTTCTGCACAAACCCCAAGTCAATGGGAGCAAGATCAGCTCTCCTCCCCCTGCTTGAATTGCATTGCCTGCATATTGAGTAATGCCTTTCACAAGATGCAGACACATCAGGATCCAGCACTAGAACGACCCCTAAAATCATGTGTGTCTTTGCAATCTTACCTTCCCACGAAATTCTCCAGCACGGAGCTCTTGCCGGCGCTCTGCCCCCCGACCACAGCAATCTGGGGCAGGTCCAAGTTGGCATTCTGGCCGATGGCTGCGAAGGCATCCTGGAGCTTGTTCACCAGGGGGATGAGGTCTTCCATCCCGCGGTTCCCCATGCTTGCAGCTCTGCCTGGTTCTCACCTTCTAGGCTTGCAATGCAACCGCCTCCTTCTCCCCCGCTTGCTTTGCAAAGGATCTACTGGTGGGGATCGACCCCCGAACCCGCATGGGGGGCTGTCCCCACCCACCCTTCCGCGGCCAGGGGGGCTGGCTCGCCCTCCGCCTCCACCGTCCTAGCCCAGGTCCCTGGATCTCTACAGCAGCAACGCTGCTCCCGACTGCCAGCTCGAGCCCCGCTCCCCGCCGGGCTCCTGCTTGGATTTAAAGCGCAGGGACCGAAAGCCGCCGCTAGGGGGAGCCGTGATGCCTCCGGCGAGTCCAGAGCTTCATGGGACTTGTAGTTTCTCTCTCTAGTGTCCGTGGGCGGCCAAAGCGGGCTATGCAGCAAGCGTAGAATAAGAGGGATGTTTCCAGTGTCTCAGCAAGCAAAATCCTCACTAGTGGAGTTAAAAGGCGAAATTAAAATCCAGCCCTACAAGCTGAGATGTGGCACAGCTTCATGATCGCTGATCTCTTGCACGATCAGGGATACCTTGCAGTAGAGAAAGTAGGAATAAGTCTGTCTCCTTTCTTTGAACCTGGAGAAGCACAAAATGATCAGTGCCCTGACTCTGCACGCTGGAAGGGCACTGTGAAACCATCCCTTCCAACATGTGAAGTGCTGTCTCTGTAAATAGTCCACACCTGAAATCACTGGTCTGAAAGATTATGGTCTTGTATTTCTGATTGGCCTTCTGTTTTGGGATCTTTGCGTTTTGCATCTCATCCGACCGGGAAGTGATCCATTTCAGTTTCTTATTCAGCAGGCTTGGGCCTTGTTGCCATTTCCCAAATATGCAGGGAAATATTTAATAGGATGTTTCCACCGGTTCTTTTTTTCTAATTTTCACAAAGAGAAAGTCTTCCATGTCAGGGTTTGTGAAAGGGTAGCTACAAAAATAAAATTCAGGGCCCTATTTACATTGGAAGTATGCCCAGGTGAAAACAGTAGTGTGTTTGGGGGAAAAAACAAAGGAAGTGGTGGCTCAAGAAAATATATAGCATCTCAACTGCCATTGTAACTGAGGTTAAACGGTATTCCTGTTCCAGGCTCAGATTCAGCTGAAAGCATAGTACTTTGGCCCTTTGCCTGAGCTGCCATCTTATTTTCCAGAATTTCTGCTCTCAGTTTTTTAAATAAGTCTCAGCTATTATAATTGTACATAAAACCTCACAACTATCAGTCAACTGTGAGCTATGCAGACACACCTGTGTGAAACTGCAGAGCTTGGAACTATAGCTCTGAGAGGTGTGAACTGCCCCTTTGGTATCAGGGACATGTTAGCTCAGATGTCAAATGATGATTTACATCCTCCATGCTGTTAACTTTCATTCCTCACTCAAGAAAGGTAAGCGGGGAGAATCAAAGATCTGCATCTCGTGCTGTGGGTGATGCATCATTTTCAGGCCATCAGTTGGTGGTGTTTAGGAGAAACCACTACTTATTTTTCCTTCCAAGCTATCAAGCCTAGTTAATCTCAAAGAGGGCCAAGCTTAATAACCCTAGTGGAGGTTAAGAGGTGCACACAGCCATATGTTGCCAATTTGTCTCTGTGCTGTGAGCCGCCCCTCATTCTGAGGATTCATACAGGCAGAGTCTGAAATAACAATATTACCCTCTCTCCCTAGCAGACTCCTGCCCTTGGAGATATCAGCAAAGTGTGGAACGGGTATCAAGAATGCCCTCCTTCCTGTCCAAGCCTCTTTAAGGAACAACATCATTTCAGTCTCGCCACACACATCTTTGCAGTCCCACTCTAGCAATCTTGGTAGGAAAGTTACCATTTGCTAGAAGCTTGCTTTAATCTGCATTTCTAATATTCCTATACAATTGATTGTATTTGATTGCTATGGTCAACATCTGTGCTAACAGGAGCGGCCTCAAACTGTGTTGATATTGGATTTTGCCCCCATCTGGCTGTTTCACATTCTAAACAGGTGTTTCACTCCGGATGAGCCTGTTCCCCAGAATTCATCACTTGGAATCCTCCTGTTCTCAGTGAGATCTAAAATTAAATTAATATACTTGTTTTTCTATTAGAAAAGGTTTGCAAAAAAGCAAACCTTTGTGCCAACAGCTGATTTTCACACTGAAAAAAAATGATTAATGTCCCAGGGGAAAGGAAAAGAAACTGGATGGATTGGAGGCAACACAGAATTTGCAGTAGGATCACTTATGAGCTCTTAGGTATTCTTGCCTTTATACTGATATGAAGTTGAAAGCTGTGAGAATCAATGGACCCATAGCTCTGACGTGAGCTCTTTATGCCCTGCCTGGTTCAATCTAATCACAGTAGCCATGCTACCTGGTGCAAGAGAGGCCTGAAAGGAAGTGCTAGGGAAGCAAGCAGAAGAAAGCAGATTCTCTTCCCAAGCCTCCAAGAAAGAAGGAAAAAAGGGAGAAGAACAAATCTGCAGAAATGGTGGCAAAGTGTCTTGAGATTTTTCACTCTGAGCCTGTCAGTCACCATGAATGTTACTTTGTAAACTGCACAAAGCACTTCACCTTTTACTGTTTTGCAGGTGCACTCAGGTAAAGGAGGATATGGCATGTGTGCATGATATCAAAGCTCTCAATTGTCAGTAATATTGCCACAGCATCAGTCTGCCCTGTCAGTTCTGTGATGATTCCAGTCATACAAATCATGGCCTGCGAAGTCAGAGCCCCAAATTTAGGTATGAAGGAAACTGAGGTCTGATATCAAGTAGAACTGCATGTGTTTATTACCTCTCAGAATAATTTTCTGCTCATGTAAAAGCTTGTGCACAGGAATGGTGTCTGCAAAGGGCAGTGTAGCAGGCTTTGTGAGTGTACAGCACTGCCTTTGTAGATGACTTACACACCTGCTGTACCAGTAGTTAAATAAAAAGAGCCAAGTGATGATCCTTGGAGAAATGATCTTACAAATAAAAAAGGACGTTTCCAAACAGGAATGGAAGAGAAAAACCAAGATTATTTCTAGGCTAGTAAGTGCTGCCTTGGAACAGATGAATGAAGGAAAAGAGGAGGAAAAGGGAGACCTTTTCTTTAAGATGGTTTAAAGATCTAGGGCCATACTTTGAAATGAGTCTCTAAAACTGTACCTTCACATAAAGATGCTCCTGCTTGCAGCTCCATCTACTGATGTGCTAACAGGCAGCGTGGGTGCACTAGTCAGAGCAACAGAGACTTCTTATGCCTAAAGAAGGGTGATTGTGCCTCAAAGCTTGCTACGAACTTTTTTCCCCAACTACTCAGTTGGTCTAATAAAAGATATCACATCTACTCAAAGAACCTTGCCTGCCCTTGTTGGGACAAATGTACTTATGCAAATAGACCTGTCAATTATGTGGCTACTGCAGTTTAAAAGCCCTTTTGGAAAAGCACATCCTTTAAAAAGTCATCCAGTAGAGCAAATGCCAGCAGACTGCCCCTCTGCAGGAGAGATCCAGGTGTATTGTCAATACACTCAGACCCCAGTGGAACAGTATACCAGAGCCCATGTAAAGATTAGTAATTTTTATAATTGCCATTGGTGTGTCCTGCTCACTAAGAATCTCCTTTTCAGAGATCCTGAGCCCCATGGGTCCCAGCCTTCAGCCAGAGTTGTAAATGCTCAGAATTTCTGACAGATTACAGAGGAACCTCGCATGCTCTTCACAGATTTGTTCCCAGGACACTTCTACAATCCAAGGTAAGAATCTAAACTTTTAAAAGGTCAGGGATGGGGATTGCCAAATGGTTCAGTGTAGGAGAGTATCTTTATATCACTAGTGAATAACATAGACATGCAAGGGGGATGTCTTTGACATAAGAACAGTTATCTGGAACGGGCATATCCCCCAAATTCTTGTTTCTGCCTGTGTTGCTTTGTCAGCCAGGAAAAAATAGTGAAATAACTGCTCCATTCCCCTTCAGTTCTGAAACAGGACACAGGGAGAATCCAGCTCACGCTCCTCCCTTTTACAAAAACCTTCAACAATGGCAAATATCCTTGAAAGCTTATTAAATTAAATTTATCCCTGGTGTAGCTCCACTGATGTCAGGACTTAAGCAAGGTAATGAATACATTTAATTTTTGTAGCCCAGTGGGAAAGGGATTTTTGACACGCGTGCGTCTGGAAGAATGAATGACTATTTTAAGACCTGTAGATGAGTTCCCTGTGCATTTCAAATGCGGAGAGGCAACGCAAAATAGTAACTAAGTCTATGTTACATCCATGTGGGACTGAAAACAGTAAATAGAAGTTACTTGGGGCTATTGTGGGGAAGGCATCATCAAAATAGTATCTGAATTTATATCCTATGGACATTATCTATCTATAGATGGTATTCAACAAGAAATATTGCAAAAAAGTTTGTGTGTTAGCAGGCTGAAGAATAGATGGTAGCATCCCGATGCTTCCTGTACAAACAGTTTGGATAACAAAGTACTGCGTATAGCTAAGTAGTCAATGCTCTGTTGGTTCCCAGCTGGCTGGTTATGGCCTGGGTGGATCAGACAGGAAAACAGCAGAACCCAGCAAATATCTATATAGATAAAGAAATAGATCTAGATAGTAGATCTAGATGGATAGATAGATGGATATATCTAGATATATTTAATTTGTATCCACAGCCACATTAGCAAAAACTAATGCTAAATCCAAGTGTCCAGAACCATAAGTGGCCCTACTACCAGCAAGCATCCTCCACCCGCATCTGGGGCTTCAGATGTTTCCAAAACCTTTGGCAGGCATCCTACTTGCAGGCCCAAGCCCGGGGGCTTGGGGTTCAGATGCCCCTGAGTTTTGCTTGTCCTCAGCCCTACGGCCCTCGGAGCAAGCAAGGGAGGAGACTGCCATTTCCACAAACTGGGCTTAACGCCACTGCACCTCGCCGGGTCCTGATCCGCGCCAGAAGAGCAGTTCTCCTGTGACGCGCTTCAGGAAAACTGCCTTCTTCGACCCAGATACGTGGCATTTCCCGTGCCAGGTGAAGAAGCCACAAGGCTCGTCCTGAGATCTAGCTCTCAAGAGCGGAGACCCGGGGTTAGAGAAAGTTGACAGTACAGACACCCTCTTTTACAGAGGGCGCGAGGCTCTCCGAAGACAGCGGCCACAGGGCCGGCACTCAAACACCCCGGACCCACAGACACCCTCAGCGGCCAGCGAGTGGCTCCAGTGTCCAGGCAGAGCCGCGCTGGGCTGGGCTGCGCGCAGACGTGGGGCGCCAGGACCCCTGGGGCTCGTGGCTCCCCGGGACAGGGGCTGCTGGAGCCCGCGGAGGGGCAGGCCGAGCTCGGGGGCGGGCGCGTGGGGAGGCCGCAGCAGGTG